GGCTAGGAACACATTCTTCGGACAGTTTCCCATGTAAATGTCATCATCACATTGGCAACATGTTCCTCATTGTTATCAAACTCTGAGGGACGTCATCTCTCAAAGCTAGATGGGTCCATGCTTGGTAGTCTCCTGCTATGAACGCGGGGCTTGGTGAACCTTAGATGTGTCTCCTCCTAGTCGTCCTCTGAGGCCCCTAGTCTGCAATACGCCATCCAGCATATCTCAGATACGAATTCAGGCATGCCATCTGCAAGCATCAGCTCGCACTACGACGCGAGCTGCATTTAAAGGACCACAACGTACCAGTGTTGCCTATCGTCGGCCACAGCATTTACCTACTTGTATCTTGGATCCCCGGCTCGTGGAGTGATACCATCCCTCGGTCGCATCGCAACAAAAGGGGGGAGGGGGTAGAGAGCTGTTCATGCGCCCAAGACGATTGTCGTAACTCACTAATACTCATTTCATCCACCTTCATTCACGAGTGAAGACTTGGTTAGGGCGGAGTCAATGGCCAGGATATAGATCAGCTCCATGTTGTTATCACCAATGACAACGGAGAGACATTCAGTCAAGTTCCACAGCACCTGGGCTAATGAGCCTCCCACTGAAGCGGAGAAGGCTAAGGTAGTGCATCCCACCGCTCCTGGCCTCAACGTGGGTTCAGGTGAAATCAGAGCGGGCCCTTATGCGAGCCGTCCTTGCTGGGAATAAGGTGGCAGTAGAGGCCGCTATTGAGGAACTACCACGGAACGGTGGTGATATTAATGCTGAGGGCTCAGGAGGTACTGGCAGTAGGAACCTACACAGCATCATTGTTTGTCTCCAGGATGTACAGCGCTGCATGCGGCAGCCTCCTTGACTGACGAGGACTGCTCCCTCTACCTATGCGGTCTCCTGTTAGACCATGATGCCGATCTAGAGGCAGAAAACAGTCTCAGTAATAATTTCCAGCGGTCTCTGTTAATCGAGTCATTCGGGTGCGTCCAGACTTCACGCCTCTTATGACCGCTTGTCTCGCGGGCAACCCCAAGGTGGTCACTTTCTTCCTAAGTAAGGGCGCTAACATCAACGCCAGTAGCAGGAAAGGAAAGATGCCCTTAGCCATCGCCGAGGAAGCCGGTAAGACAGATAGAGGCGACCTTACATCAGAGAGGGGTCTTCCTGTTTTAGGTCACCAAGCGGTCGTCGAAGCCCTACAGAGTGCTTTGTGATGCTACTATTTGTATCTTCAGCAGAATCCATCATAAATTCAGTATCATCCCCACCCATCTCCATGAAAATTGTGTAGTGTATTCTAGTGAGGTGTTGAATAGGGAGTTACATGCTGGTGGTCGAGGCCTACCGAACCCCTCTCCTTCTCTGACTACAGTAGCCTGATGGTTGCCGAGCTCGAACGGTCATGTATCATCATCAACACTGTAGTAGAGTCCTCACCCAGGCGCTTCTTCCCACCAAACGTTGATGGAAGTTTCTATACCAACGATCTCCGAGTTGCGGAGACGTACTGAGGACCTCGAACGAAGACACAGGGAGGGGCTACTCAGATCTCGGTAGTCATCCTGTCGCTGGTCAAATATGGTTGGAAGCTCTTCCTCTTTTTTCAAGGCGGCCGCGATATCACTCCCCTCGTCGTGACGACAGAGTTCTAACCTTCCTGCCCATTAAGGAGGCCGTAGATCGAGAGGTTCCCAGCAGACAACGTTTGGAGGAAGAAATCGACCGTCTCACGTCCGACTGCCACAAGCTGCGGAGATATTTGAATATTCTGGCCCGAAGACGGGAGGATAACTCCTATGAGGTGGGTCCTGCTACTGGGCTCGCACGGATTCTGTTGGTCTCGGGTGAGATGGACTTCCTCAATCTCGACAGCTAGGCGGCTTCGGAAGACTCAGTAGAGGGTAGAGTGCGGCTCGTCCAAAGGCAGCTACTCCGTGAGGAACTCACACGGATGAAGAAGGCCCTCCAGGGGCATTTGGGGAGGGGTCACCGATGGGCCGATGAGGCAGACATGGCTCAGAGTAGGAGGAAAAATCGGTAGACTGGAATTCAGGCGGTCAGGCAATTTGCATCTTCGTGCTATTGTCTTCGGTGGCTCTGCTACTCCCTGCTAGATAGTTGGGCACTTTGTGGAGCTGTGACCCGTGCTGCCGTGTCCGGTAGAGGCCTTCTAGCAGTACTCCTGCTTTCGGTAGGTATAGTGCTCGACCTTGACAGGCGCATTGAAAGCATCTCCAACGGGCCTCCCGGTATTGTGAGTGAGATCGATCGAAGGACGCTTCTCGTGGAGAGAGATGCCCAGGTATGGCCTTCTACAACTAACACATATCCTTTGTTGAGGCAGTCAGGTAGCTGCGGCTGCAACTGCCGAGGAGCACATGTTGGCAGCTGCGCTGGTATGCCGTGAGCTGCAGGTTCGAGTAGCAGTGAGTGGCGTAGTATGCGCTGTCTCCATCGACCTTCACTAGAAGGTACTCAAGCATTGGCTCGCCAGCAGTAAGCCTTCGCCTAAGTCATCCCGCACGGGCTTGAAGCTGGACGTGGATGAGGAGTTGGTAGTCGAGTTACTGAAGGTATGAGCCCTCCAAGCCATATCACACCTCCGTGAAGGTTGCCAGCAGGTGCGGTCCAAGGAGCTGGGGACAGCGAGGGCAGACTTACTCAGACTAGACTCTACCGGCATCCTCAGTGGGTGCTCGGAGCGAGCCAGTGATCCAACGTGACAGCCACAGAATCGCCACGTAGCATCAGGACCTGCCCATGTCGGGAAGACGCATGTACTCAAACCGTCTCATTGCCTCTCGCTGCATCTAGCGTTGTCCAAATTGATGCCAACGAGGGTTCGATGTGCCAAGCTTCATCGCGGTTGGGGGAGAGTGAGTGATCATTGTGAACGAAATTCACATATTGGGCTCTTGTGAGACTATAGCTACTCATGTGGCATGTCTATATTCACATATCGGATTTTATACTTTTCTGCCTTCATTTGCATGCTCTATATCTATCTTTACATGGCATATCTGGTCATGCCGATGAAATTAGTCTTCTTATCGTGGGCGGCTGTGAAATTATTGTATTGAGCATATCTTGAGGTTGTGGCATAGCCGCCCCGTCTGAAGAAATTGATTGTATTGGAGCATATCTTGGGGTTGTGGCATAGCCGCCCCGCCTTCCAGCATTGATCTGTATTTGTTTTAAGCTTCCCTTCTGCATCATGCCTACTACTGTCGGGTCAGTGCGTAGTAGTAACATCGGGGCAGCGGCGGTGGCGGCGGCGAGTGGGGAGTTCCTCAGTCTACTCGGCATTAGATCCCCAACTTTTCTCGATGATGCCCATCGCCCATTTGGAGGGAGGCTAGTCTGGTCACGTAACGACGACCGTCACTATCATGGGGTTGACTTGGTCATTGGTCGGGATGGGTTCACTGTTCGGGAGATACCCGTCGGGCACGAGGCGCCGTTGGAGATACGGAGGTCTCTGCGCGGCTATGTCACCACGAAGCAGCTCGGCGCCGCGCTACTTAACTCTCCTTTTGTACAGCTGACTGTGCAGAAGTACCTTGTGGAAACTCAAAGTGTTGTTCAATTGTTGGCCCATCACGCCGAATGCGCTCCCGAAGACATATCCTACGCCGGCCGGAAGGACAAACATGCTGATACCACTCAGCTAATCACAATGCCACAGGAGGCTTTCCTGAGGTTTTTCCGCAAACATCGTCAACTCCGGCTACCTTTTCGGATCGGGGACCCTTTAGGAGTAGAGAGAGCACTCAAGTTGAGTGATCTTAGCGGCAACTACTTTCGCCTGGTGTTCACCGGCGATTCCCGAGTTATAGAGAGTGAGGCACACGATGCGGCTTTAGCTCGAATCGCCGAAGGAGGTTTTGTCAACTATTTCGGGCCTCAAAGGTTCGGGTCGCCAAGGTACATGACTCCTGTAGTAGGTTGGCATTTGAATACGGGTAGGGTGGAAGAAGCAGTGGTGGCTCTCCTGGCGAGCCAGGGGGAACCCTCCCGGAACGACGTTTCGAAGAAGATCCTCGGAAAGAACTTCAAATCGCTTCAAAGGAATCTCCCTGAGGATGTTTCCTCGAGAGATGATCACGACTTGATCGAAGCGATTGTGAAATACCCGAAGAGACTGTGGCGGACTAAAATACCAGCGTCACTATGGAGCACTTACAATAACGCTTTCGAATCTCTGCTGTGGAATTACGTTGTGAGTACGAGGATTGAACGCTATGGCATGAAAGGTGTCGCTGGTGATCTATGGTTAGATGAGAGTGGGAAAGTCGCTATTCTCTCGTCAACATCGCCAGAAGTCCCAGATCTCAGTAAGGTGGTCCTACCAGTGCCCTCCAGATTTGGTATCCGTCCTGACAATTTGATAGGGGATTTTATATTAACTTCGACAGTGAGGTTGGGAGTGAAGGAGGACGCTCTCAGACACCGTGGTCGTTTTCGGTCACTCCTGGTTAGACCACAGAATTTGACATGGGAGCGGCGACAAGGAAGATTGTCGGTTGCATTCATCCTTCCGCCCGGGTGCTTCGCGACTTCGCTCGTACGAGAGTGGCT